AGGAAGATGAAGCGGGCGATGTTGAAGCTTCTCCCTGAGAAGCGTGAACGGTACCTGCACCTGTCCTGGACTGCTTTGTTTTTACTCACCGCCGCACTGCACTGCACCCCTGCAGCAAGCAGTTTTCGTCCACCATGGAAAAGCTGGAGCTGGTCTTGACCATGCGCAAGTACCCCGAGTCGCGTCGCCTGCTCGCCGATTACACAATGCTCAATCCGCACTCCGACCCGCACGACTTCGAGTACGGGCAGACCCTGCCTTGTTTGCAAGCCCCCCCCCCAGTACACTCATGATCAAATTTAACAGGGACGTGAGCGAAGAAAAGTTCAACACCATGGAGGATCGGTTCCTCCTGGCCAGCAGAGAAATGCTGCTCAAGGCCAACTTTACCCCAGTCACTCGCGAGGAGGTACCTTCCCATTTCCAGCTCAAGGTGATGCCCGCCCGCGTTGCTGACACGTGCAAACCATAGCTCGAGTGGGCGCTGAGAGAAGACTACTTGAGCACGCTGCCGGTGGAGATCAACTGGGACGGCCTGGATCCCGGCCCCTTCCGCCGCTACAAGTACGTCTCGCTCCTCCGCTGGCCGCCCGTGGTAAGGTTTGATATGGGCGGCTCACGAACGCCCATGTAATGAAGGGAGATGCAAGAGAATGAGGACAACATCGAACGGTTTGCGCCGCAAAGCGACAAGGCAGAGAACGCGTTCATTCCCTCGAACAGGGTGTGGGTCTTCCGTCGCGGAATCGGCCTGGACAAGACTGAGGTAGCCACGCCTCAATGTAATCGCATTATGCTTCTCACTTTCTTTGATGCAATGCTCATCGCTTCCCACCCAGGACTATTTCATGTTCGAGAAAATCGACCACCTGCTCATCATTTTCTTCACGTGGCTTTCTAATCGATTCCCTTCGCTCCTTCGCATTTTCCCATTCCTGGGCAAGGTCCGACCATCTTCCCGCATATATATACACACACGGTGGTGGTTCATGCGCTGACGTCACCTCCTGTCGTGTTCTGGCCCACCAGGTCAAGTCGGTCCAAGAAGTGGAGACAAAGCGACAGGCCAAGAAGCACAACAGGAGGGAGAGCGCAGGGCTCAGCGCGGATTCTGTGGGTCTACGCACTCTGGACAAAGGCACCCAACCGGAGGACGAGGACAGCAATGTCATCACTCGACGGACCCTGTTCGCCGACGTGCGCAAGCACGGCCTCGGCTCGCTCTTTCGCAAGAGCACCATCGTGGTACGAGCCCATGACGCCCTACCAAGATTCACCGTGACTCTTCGCACAATCAACCCACCCTGTCGGCTGGCGCATTGCGTTTGACACAGGAACCGACGTACAAGGAGATGGTGGTGATGTACAAGAGAGACCCCAAGAAGTCGGTCGCCGCGCTGGATCCCACCCACGCCAGCGCCATCAACGATCGCGGAATCTTCCTTCGCACCTACCGCAACATTCCCATGGTACAGCTCACCTTGCTGACCGCCGCATTGTGTTGTCTTTCCTTGAATGCCTGCGCTGACCGCCGATTTTCATCTTGGCAACTGCAGTCCGATCTGGAGCTCATTTTCCCGGAGAAGAAGCTGGGTGTGAGACCCATGGACTTTGTTTACCTGGCCGCCACGGGCGCGATCGGCATTGCCACGCTCATCATCCATTTCTCCGACGAGGTACGACCACCACGGCTTATCGTTATTACATTCCCTGTGATAGAGCTGTCTTGTACTCAAAACCAACGTGTTGCGCGCATAACAGATAAGCTCGTGGTTTGGCCTTGCGGCTCTGCTCAGCTTTGTCACCCTCGCCGTGCGCACCTTCATCACTTATCGCTACAGCATCATTTACTACCAGCGGTTCATGCTCGGATTTCTCAATGACAAGGCGTACCGTCTCTCTCTCCACACACACTCTCTCACACCTTCGCACTCATATCTCAATATTCTCATCGCTTTTTGGTACAGAATGTCTAGCGACAGGGACGTCCTGTTGTACTTGATAGACAAGCTCAAGCTGCAGGAACTCAAAGAGGTAAACTTAACTGAACTCATCTGGATTCAATCTACCAGCCTGCCTGGCTGACTCATTTCTCGTCGTTGGTACACATAGAGCGCGGTCCTGTATTTCTTCCTGTGGACCTACGGCAAGCAGACGCCCAGCCTGGCGCACAAGGTCTGCGAGGAGTTCATGATGGACATCCAGAGGCTCGAGAAGCACCCTACGCACGTCCGGTTCGCCGTACACGACGCGCTGGCTCGTCTCCTCTCCCTTGGCATGGCCAAGCGCGCCGACGGTACCACATACACGCGCGCTCCGAACGCCCAGGCTGTGTGTTCTTACGCGTTCCATGTAAACTTCGGCTTTGCAGGACGCGAGAGCAAGAACATCGACGACGAGGCCGAGTACGTGGCGACGCCGTTGGACGAGATGCCCACCGTGCTGGGCGAGCACTGGGCTCACATTTTTGCCACTACCCACCTGCCCAGCGACGCCGCCATTCCGTACACCAGCGCCTCGGCGCCCTCCTCCTACTAGGCCCAGTTCTTCACCCCCCCCTCTGTTCTACCGCTCGAAGCTTGTAAATAGGTCGCCCATTCCCATGACTCGCTGCCGGCTCTCTCTTCTAGGCTTCAGTCGTTCTCGGCGCTGCCGGCGGTGTCGCCGGCCTCAGTCTGGCTGTCGCTCGGCCGCAGGGTCACCTGGATGGCGAAGAGCGGGTAGATGTAGTCCTCCTCGCCCTCGTTCGTCTTGGCGTTCGTTTGCTTGAAACGGACCCGGAAGCCCAACTTCCTTTTGTTGAACTGTTTTTACCTGCAATCAGTATCAGCTGCACACGCACCACCGCACAAGCACACGCACACGCACACGCACACGCAAGACTGTAGTACCTCGGCCAGGTACGCGCTGATGCTGGCCGCGACGGTGACGATGTGAGCGGCGAGTTGCTGTTGTTTTCGCTGGCGCCGGATCACCCCAAACACGGTGTAGTCCCACCAGCTGGCGTTCTTGAGCATGTCAACGCTCGCCTCATGAATGGGTCGCCAGAGCTCGTTCACGCCTCCAATCAGCGCCTTCCACTGCTCCTCTGTAGTTAATAATAATGATGAGAATGGAAATACATGGGAGATAAGCATGATGGTCGAGTGTTGGTGTGCTCGCCCTATTCATCTTTCATATGAAGGAAGGGGAGTGCGTACCGGAGCACACAGCCGCAAGAAAAGATGGATAGTCGTCGCTGTACATTTGAAAGGTGCCCTGCTGGTCTGGTGGGGCGGGCCGCTCGTTGATGGTTGCTGTGTTCACACCTTCCACACGCTTCACGCGCATAGCGCTATTCAAGGACCGCATTCTGATCTCCATCTGGTTGTGGGGGTGGCATGAAGTGAGGATGGCGCGATGCGGCCTGAGGACATGGGAGAGCTCACCTTCTTACAACAGCCAACCACGACAACAAAACGGGGAGAACTGCCGAGCCTGCTGAAGGTGCTGTTGTGGGTGTAACTCCTGCCAGACGGATAGTGGGCAAAGGGCACTTTCCTTTTCAGTTTGCGAAGAGAAAAGTGTTTCCTTCAATTTTCTTTTTTGTTTCCGCATTTTTTTTCCGATTGATTAGCGTACCACACCAAGGTACCTCTTCCCTACATCACTCTCTGCTTAGAGCTCTCTTCGTTTTCCTGGTTATAATAGCTTAACCTCGTTGCGATCAATGAATGATTAATCAAATTGATTAAAAGGAACAACATGGGAATCGCCGGCTTTCAGAAATGGCTGGAGAAGCACTACCCGCACTGCTTCATTCCGGTGCCAGACGCGCCCCGACGCCCTGCGCCCGGCGAACGGTGCGTTGTGAACTCTCCTCTTGTGCGAAAGCGTGCTCACCCAACACTCGGCCGTGTGCAGGGCTCCGCCAGCTGTCAAGGACTACTTTGACCATATCTACGTGGATCTCAATGGCTACATTCATACGGTGGGAAGGTACGCGTGCAACCCCGTGCCAGCATGTTGTGTGTGTACACACAATTGAACGATTCAACGCTTCGCACTCGTCCCTCCCGCTTCAGGCGAGCCGCAAACGAAGAGCAACTCTTCACCTTGCTGTTCCGCGAGCTCGATGGGCTCTTCAAGGTCTGCGTCGCGCGCCAGTCCATCTTCCTCGCCATCGACGGACCCGGTACGCGCAGTGCATGGCCACCACTGATAAAGATCGTCCGTTATTGTGGTGTGCGACTCATTTGTGCTGGCTTTGTCTACGACACCGTAGCGTCCGCGGCCAAGTTGATCACCCAGCGAAAGCGGCGCCTGGGTGCGGCCAGCAAGCAGGACAGACAGGCCAAGGCCAAGGCGCAGCCCCAGCCACAAGTCGCCGAGAGCGAAGCCCAAACGGGCGCTCCCGCCGTCAGCAAGAAGAGGGTGAAAAAGAAGGGCGAGTTCAACCTGCTCCAGGTGACTGCGGGAACGCCGTTCATGTACCGACTGAAGAACGCGCTGTGCTTCTGGGCGTGCTCGCGCCTGCAGAGCGACCCCAAGTACCACTTCACCCGCATCTATATTTCCGGTGCGTTCATACCCACCGCCCACCACCCGCGGCCCCTGTGTGCACTAACGTTAATGTGGTCCTGGCAGGTCCGGATGTGCCGGGCGAGGGCGAGCTCAAGATTATGGAGTTCATCGTCTCGCACGCCAATGCCGATTCCTCGCCACCGCCAAACCCACAGGAGCGAGTGTTCGCCTATCAGACGGTGCGTTTGAAACGGCCGTGTGTCCGTTGTGGTGTGGTCGCAGTGGTCCGTCAGTTGTGGCTCACTCGGTTCTCGTTTGCGCTGGACAGGGCTTTGCCGACCAGGAACGGAACGCCGAGAAGTTCCGGAGGGACTCGCACCTCATCGTGGGCACCGATGCCGACTTGATTTTGCTCGGTACGCCCCAGCGCCCAGCCTAGCTCTGCATTTTCTTTTGTTCGAATGATGTTGTTTCTGATTTCGTACGGGCACGCGCTGCCAGGTTTGAGCTCCATGTTGCAGAATGTTTTCATTCTCAACACGCAGAGGGGACAGAGCTCCAAGCTGCTTTTTTCCATCTGGGAGTTCTGCCGGTCACTCGAGCATTCCTTCCCCTTTAGGGTACCTGCATGCAGCCGCACCACCGCACACGCGCACGTCAACACGCACATGCACGAAGCGAATTCATATAAATGATAACGTTACGTTGGTTTGCTGCAGGGTCACTGCAACATGACGAGGCTCGACTTTGTTTTGATCTCCCTCTTGCAAGGCAACGACTATCTGCCCAAGCTCCGCGGCGCCTCCCTGGACCGGTGCGTCGTCTTCATAGACCCTGCACACACTTTCTGTAGATGATAATTTTTTTATATATTTCTAACAGTCATATTCTTTTTCCGGTTTCTGAAGGTTGTGGGCACGGTACAAGAAGCTGAAGCAGCAGCCCCAGTTTCACCAGCAATTCCTGGTCAACCCGGGCTACACGCTCAACGTGCCCTTCTTCCTGAACCTCGTCTGTGCCTTCGGTCCGGTCATGCCGTTGCCCTCCTCCCCGGCCTCCTCGCCCAACGCCCTGCCCACCTCCGTCCCCTACTCGGCTTCCACCGCTGCGCCGGCGCCAGTGCCAGTGCCAGCGGCGGTCACCATTCCCTCTTCGGCCGCCGTCGAGGAATCGGCCTATCCTCCGGCGCTCTCGTCCCTGTTCCAGTCCGCCACGCAGGCCATGGGCTCGTTCGCGCCGCACCTCACGCCGGCGCACCACCACCGAGGCCTACACCAGCAGCTCCAGTCGCCCGTGGACTTTGTGGACCCGGCCATCATCTCGTCGTCGTCGTCGTCGGCCTTTTTTCCCTCCTCGGCTGCCGGGCAGCTGCTGCCTGATGACCCGTCGATCATCGCCGCGTCCGCGATGGGCTACGCGGCGCCCTATCTGCACGGCGGCAACCCCTACTACCACCCCTACCATCCCCCGCACCCTCCGGTCGGCGGTCACCCGGTGCCGCCCGCCGTTGCGCTGATGTTTGCCAACCCCTACCTGTCCGCGTCGGCTTTCCCTTCGCCAGTGCCCGCCGCGGCGACGGCGATCATGCCTCCGCCGTTCGGGCATGGAGGCCATGGCCTGGTCGCGGAGGAGGCCGACATCGACGCCGAGGGTGACCAGGAGGTGATCTGCTTCCAGCCGCCCGTGGCCGTGCAGGCAGCAGTGGCGGTGGCCGCTGCAGCTCATCTCGGCGAGGCACAGCAGCACCTGGCAGGGGAGGATCTCATCGGCGAGGCGATCGACGAAGACGAGGACGAGTTTGACGGCGACGACAGCGAGAGCGAAAGCGACTACGACGATGAAGAGGAAGAGGCTGTGGAGGGCACCAACGGTAAGGATGTAGAAGAGTCCATGGACGATGATGAGGATTCCGACGAGGAGGAGGAAGAAGAGTTCATCAAGGGACTCATCTTTGGCCACGACCCCGAGGCCTACCTGCAGGGCCTGTTCTGGTGCCTGAAGATGTACATGGAAGGTACCCCTAGCTTTCTCCACCTTCTTGAGTCGAAGCAGTCATGTTGTCTGCGCCGTTTGAGGCTGAAGGGCGGTGCGAAATGACTACTCCACAGGCTTCTGTCCTGACAACAAGTGGTTCTACACCCATCGCCACGCTCCTACCGCCTTGCAACTCAGGTACGCACGACACACACACGACACACACGGCACACACACGCACACACGCGCGAATTGACTTGCTTGGCCTGGCGCAGAAACTTCTTTGCGGATGCTGGCGCATCGAACTCGTTCTATCCGGTGACCGTGCCACGCTCGGCCACGCTCCCATTGCCGCCCCACAAGTTCTGTCTCACCGTGCTCCCACTCCAAGGTACCCCGACGTCCCACCCGCGGGGGCTCCTCGAAGCTCGCAGGCCCTGACTCGCTCTTTCTTTGGACAGCGCGCGAGTTGGCGCACGAGATGCTGCAGCCGTACATGGCGCTCGACTCCAAGCTGGGCTCGATCTTTCGCGAGCCCACCTTGCTGGTGGACGTACAGCTCATCGACGCCGTGCTGTCCGAGATCCCCGAGGCCAGCCTGCCGCCCGAACTGCGCTTCGCCCACACACACTACTACCAGCGCGCCCCGCAAGCCGGCTACGGTACATTGCTCTCTGTGCGTGTCGTTGGCCGTGTCGTGTCGTGTCGTTGGTCGTGCTCATGTGCTGTGATGGTTGCAGGTCGGAACGGGTGGCATCCGCAGCCGTGGTCGTACCAGCATCAGCGATACGAGCACCAGCCGGGCCCCTTCGTGCCCTCGCTGCTGCCGCAGCTCCCGTGTCAGCGCTACGATCCGCTCTGGGACCCCGAGCGCCGGCTCAAGTGCGCCTTCTACCCCACGCGCAGCTACCCGTCGCCCGCGCTGTACGGCGGCGCCGACCCGCGGGTCGACTTGAATGCCTGGCCCGTGCTGGCGCCCACCATCGACCACCTGCGCATCCCCTATTACAAGCCCTTCGCCTTCTTGTACGGTGCCGGCGGCGGATATCGCGGCGGACGTGGCGGCGGACGTGGCGGCGGACGCGGCGGCGGCCGAGGAGGTCGCGACGGACCGCGCGTTGTGGGAGTTCCTCCACTCGAGGGAGTGGTTGTCGAGGCTGCGCCCACAGACGCGGACGCCGGCGGTGCGGCGCCAGCTGGCGGCTTCGCGCCTCGGCCTGGTCGAGGCGGTCGAGGAAATCGCGGCGGACGCGGCTTTGCCCGAGGAGGACGAGGCGGCGCCCATGCCCAGCACCCACAGCAGCACCTGCCAGCAGACGCAGCTGCTGCACTCGGGGCGCCGGCCGAGCTTGTCAACGGTGGCGGCGCAGGCCCGGCGGCGGCGGCGGAGGGTCTGCATAGGGGAGGCGGATATCGAGGCGGACGTGGCGCCGGACGCGGCGGCGGGCGACGAGGAGGTCGGGGTGGCCGCGGAGCCGTTGCAGCCAACGGCGGTGACGCCGGGCAGCCGAACCCGCAGCACGGCGACGCCTCGGCTGCAGCGCCCCACCAGCCCCGAGCGCAGCGTGGACGAGCCCGGGCGCCGCCGGTCTACAAGCCCAAACCGTCGGCCGGCGGCCCTCCGCCCAACGCAGTGGCGCCGACGACCAGCGGACCACAGCCCTTATAAGAGGTGCGCCAACATTGTTTTGAATTTTACAGCTTTGTTACAATGCAGCCGCCCGTGGCTAGGCGGTCTCGATGTAGAGGCCGTTGGGGTGCATGACGTTGGTGTCCTGGAACAACGCGTTGTCGCCGACGGCGATGGCCTTGCTGGTGTCACCAGATGAGCTGGACAGTGACTACGAAGGACAGCGCTGGGAAGACTATTGACCGCTACTACTGTGATGACTGTGCGAACGCGCTACACCGATTGGTGCAAGACCATCGCATTAGCGCTTGCGTAGTACTATTACCTGCCAAGAGGATGAAGAAGCTCATGGTCTATCTCTACCGTCGGAGGATCCTTCCCTGTGCGAAACGGCGTGTCGGTTGGCCTACACGCTCGACCTGCTCCAGCCACAGACGGCGTAGCAAAAAAGTAAAAGGCCATTCACAGAATTGAGGGCTTGGCCGCCCACTTGGCAAGAAACAAAAAAAGATGGAGGACTACGATGAGCACAACATCGAGGTTGCGCTCGTGGACAAGGAGCTCATGCACATCGTGTTTGGCTTCCTGGACTTCACCGACCTGTCCTCCGTGTCCGCCGTGTGCAGGTACTTAAATTATTAAAATCTATTCTTATATTTATAATAATAATCATGAATTATGACATATTTGTAATTTTTAACTTCATTATCTGCAAAGGCGGTGGCAGGTGCTGGCCAGGGCGGACGAGGTCATGCGCGTGCTGGTCCAGGGTCGCGTTTTGTCCATGGGCACGGCCGACCACACGGGCCTGGGCTACGCCCCCGCCGAGAGCAGCGAGCCCAATCGGTGGCGCATGATCACTCGCCTCGCGCGGGAGACTATCGTGCAGGTGGCCACCACGCCCGAGATCTACGACAAGCACCACACCCTGGCCGTCACCGAGAATGGTACTCCCGCCCAGTGCCGGCCTTGGTGCTTCACCAAGTTCTCAAACTCTTTGGTGTGTCGTGTGCGTGCGTGCGTGCGTGCGTGCGTGCGTGCGTGCGTGCGTGCGGTTGCCGGTGGAAATGGCAGGGGCGGTGTACGCATTCGGTGATACGACCGACGACAAGCTCGGATTCCAACACGGCTCGAACCCATGCTATGCGCCGCAGATCGTCGCGGCGCTCGCGGACGAGAAAATCGTCAAGGTACCTTATACGCCGCTCGAGCAGCCAAAGACTCGCCGATGGGCCACCGACCAACATTGCATCTTCTTCTATTCGGTCATTGGGGTGTAGGTGGGCGCGGCCGGGGCACACAGCGTGGCACTGTCGACCAGAGGAACTGTTTTCACCTGGGGTAAGCCGCGCCGGTGTCGTGTCGTGTCGTGTCGTGTGTCGCGTGTGTCGTGTCGTGTCGTGTCGTGTCGCGTGTGTAGGACAAAAGCCCAGAATGAACGCCGCAAGGGCCGGGGGCGTGTAATCCCCGACCCAAGGCTTCAGGGGCAATGGCCGTCTGGGCGAGCGGCAGGCGGAACGGGGCGAGAACGACTTTTCCTCCCGGATGGAGCCTGCAGAAGTGACCCGAATCGGTGGCGATGAGAGCGTGCGACCGTTCATCGTCGACCTGTGGTGCGGCAAGGCCGTCACGCTGCTGCTCGACCGCGACGGCGTGCTCTATTCCTTCGGCATCGATTCCAGGCACGCCCGCTCAAACATATTATTCTTTTTCTTATTCTTATTCTTATTCTTATTCTTATTCTTATTATAAATTTATAAAATTGAAATATCGACTTCTTAGGTTTCCCTAATATTTATAATTATTTTGCTTTGGGCTGAAACGAAGCAAACTGACTGGGCAAGCTCATCAGGGGCAGCTTGGGCCGCGAGGCCTCGGGCGATGGTGGTGGTCCAATGCCGGTGGCGTTCCCACCGGGGGTCAGGATCAAGTCGGCCGCCTACGGCGGCGGCCATGGCCTCGCCATCACCACCGACGGTTCGCCTGCCTTCCCGCCTGCCTCGGCTGCCCTAATTTTTGGCGGTGACGGTCACTAAGCCGTCGTCATCGTGGGCGTGCCAACAGGCCAGGTGTACTCGTGGGGCACGGGATCTGCGCTGGGCCATGGCGCCCCCGGCGAGTTGGACGGCCCCAACCCGCCCAGATTGATCGAAGCACTGGCCCACGCGAAAGTGGCGCAGGTGGCCTGTGGCCCGTTGCACTCGCTGGTGCTCACGGAGGACAACGTCCTGTACTCCTTTGGATATTCACAGGTGCCGCCCTTATCGATCCGTAAAGCGCTCCCGTTGAATCTCACGCACGCACGCACGCACGCACGCACACCACGGTCGGTTAGGGCGGAATACTGGGACACTCAGAAAGACCCGATGACTCTGCGGTACCACAAGTGGTCGACGCGGTAGCCGGCCTCGGCACCATCACCGCCATCTCCGCGGCCTCTGGGTGCGTGCCTACCCTCCTCTCTCGCCTGAAACAACCAAACAATCAATTTTCTGATCTTTTTGGCACGGCTGGCCCCAACCGTATACCTGAGCACAGGCAATCGGTGGTGCTGTTTGAGAGCGGCCGTGTGCTCGGGTTTGGCGAGTTCAAGGGGGAGCTCAAGAAGGAGAGCTGGCTTGTGCCGCGCAGCGTGTGCGCTGGTGCGGGTGGCGTGTTCCTTCTCTGCTGACTGAGCTAGGACGCTTTTTGTGACCATTTTATCGAAAATGATGATGTTTGCTTCAGAGCAGTCGTGGATATGTCGCAAGCGGTTGATGTATTGAGTAGAAGAGGGGATGATTTACGAGAACAACACAGCACCAACGCCTGCGGCGTGTATGCACACGACCCGATGTATGTTGTCGGGCCTTACGCGTAGTTACGATCGCAGCTGACCACGCACACCTGGTTGGCTGGGCACACTTCGCCAGCCGCACGGTACACGCCCTGCACCCACACAATCTCAGTTCAGCGGAGTGCAACAAAGTGAAGTGAGGCGTTATGGGCGCGTACCGAGGAGTTGGGGTAGCAGCGGCCGACGTCAGCGTAGAAGATGATGCTGGCGATCGAGATGGGGTAGCAGCCCTGAGCATCACGATAGGACGGCTGGTTGTCGACCAGCACCCTGGGACAGCAGCCATTCACATCGCTGAAGAAGCCGTTGGCGCACAGGCGCGCACCGCCCTGCTGGGCAGCGCTAGCGATGTCCGGGCACTGGGGCACGCACACGCGGTCGGCCGGGCAGACCTCGCCAGCGCTCCTGTACACCCCCTGCACGCCCGATTAGCCCCCTCTGCTGAACTGGTGCACCACTTGTGGGTGTGGGAGCGTACAGCAGAGTTCGGGAAGCAGCCCTGGGCGTCGGCGTAGAAGGCGATGCCGCCGATGAAGCGCGGGAAGCAGCCCTGGGCATCGGCGTAGAACGGGGTGGAGCCGACCACCAGGGGGCAGCAGCCTCGCTGGTCCGGGAAGAAGTCGGAGCCCGGGCATCTCTGGCCCACAGCGAGGTTGATGGTGCAGAGCACCAAGAAAGCGAAAGCGGTGAACGGCTTCATGTTGAAGTTGAGGTTGTTGCCTGGTTGCTTGGCTCAAGAGAGTGTTGGTTGCAGATAGGGACAATCGAGGAGCAGCCACTATTTGTAGAGAGCGCGATCCAATAAGAAATGGAGTCATTACTTTACAGTACCCCGCAAGCACTCTGGAAGTTTCAGTTGCCGGTTTGAAGGAGCCTGGTGCTGCGCTTTCTCTGCCACCCCAGCAATATTCCCTGCCGAAAGCTCCAGCCCTGGTGCAGCCTGGCAGGGATTGCCAGGTTCAACTCCAGCCTCACCTCTTGTGTCCAAAACAACTCAAGCCATTAACAATCACAAGGTTGTTCTACATAGAGCTCCTCCCCACCACCAAAGCCCTCGAGCTGGTGTTGGCAGCGGGAGATCCCAACACTTCTTTTAAATCCAGTTGTTACAAGCCTGAATCAACTTCGCCACCTTGGAAGTTGACCACCGATGAAAGCGGCTGCCTCCTTTTCTTCTGTCGCACAGCCACCACCACGCCCGCCACGATCACGCTCACCACCAACACGCCGGCCACCCCCACGCCCACAGCCACGCCAACTATCAGGCCCAAGTCCTCTCCGCCACCTCCAAAGTCATCGCCGCGACCGCCTGATGAGCCCAGCAACACGCCCAGCCCGAGGCTTGGGTCGTAGTAGAGGGACCGGTTGAAGGCTGGGAAGACCAGCTCGAGCTCGTAGTGGCTGTCGCTCACCACGTCGACTGCGTGCGCGATCGGCGTGAAGGCTGTGTCGTCGACCAGGGCCACGTCGAACATCTCGACCACCATTACCACTACCTCCGCAGACGCTGTTGGGGCGTCGGAGGCGGGCACGGCCAGGTAGTACGAGGTCATGTTGGCTCGTGGCGTGTTCTCGGCACGCTCGATTACTGTCAGCTGCTGGCTTCGTTTGGCCCTGTACGACGATGGTGGCGGAGACCCAGGACCGATGTCGGACAGGCGGTAGCGCAGGGTGACACCCTGTATGGCGCTGGCGTTGGTGGCCGAGCTGAAGTTGACCGACCACTTGACGGAGCCCGCGGCGATGACGAAGTCGCGTCCGGAGAAGCTGGCCGTCGATGCATTATTGGCATTGAATGAGAACACCTGCGTGGCATTGGTGTAAGCGTCCAGCTGGGCCTCATACATTCTCTCGGTCCTTATGGTGCTGTTGATGGCGCTGCTGACCGCCCAAGTGATGCCTACACATATAAAATCAGTTTTGAGCACATGCGGCTGTTTAGGGGTGGGTTGAATCCGCACCGGAAAAGGTTGTGTTGCCCACCTGGATGGCCTCCAGGCTCGATCTGATGGCAACGGTGGACGCGGAAGATGAGGTTGAGAGGTCGATGGTGGGCTCCGTGTTGCCAAAGGTCGAGTTGGCCGCCAGCGGCGACACCATCGAGGCGGTCCTCGAGGTCGTGGGCGTGGCCGTCCGTGAGGGTGTGGTGCTCACCGAGATGGAGGGTGTTGCCGACTGCGAGGACGTGGGGCTCACCGAGATCGTGGGACTCGCCGTCCGTGAGGGCGTGGGGCTCACTGAGATCGTTGGCGTGGGGCTCACCGAGATGGAGGGCGTCGCGGAAGGCGTGACCCTGCTGGGCGTGGCACTGACCGATGTGGAGGGCGTGGGCGACGGCGACGGGCACACCTTGATGGCTGAGGTCACCTGGTTGGTAGCATTACCGCCTTGACAAATCGAGCTGAGCGTCTGAGAGATGGCGAGAAGTAGACCTGATGAAGTCAAGCAGGTAAACATGAGGTGTGGATGTGATGATGTCGATACTCGAAAATTGGAGCTTTAAAGCTTGCTAGGGAGGTGGGGTGAACCGGTGACCGTCGACGAGTCTGCAGCGGCAGCGGCGTCTTCGCTAGCAGTAAAGTTGAAAGTGAGTACGTTGGCGACAGCCCTGTTTTGAGTATAACCGGTCCAGGTGACTCTGTTGATTGATGTAATTCAAGAGGTGGGGAACTGTGTTAACCCTGTGGTACAGACCCTACAGGTAGGTGGAGGGTTGTGTACGAGCTCTCCGTATTGGCGTCAATGTTGGTGGAGAGCCAAGTCTGGATCATGCTGTCGGAGACGTTTGTCAATGAATAGCTGGGTAGCTGCACGTAAGGGCCACTAAGAGAACGTTTAAATGGTGGCTGTTGGGTTAGTACTGGCGTTTGGCCAAGGAGGGTAGGTACTGTAACGGCCCAATAAAACAATCAGGTGAGGTGGGAGATCGTACTGATGAGAGAAGGACCCATGAGGAAGAGGGCCGCAAGGGCAGGAGTCATCTTGAGAGATGTATGCACCATTGTAAGCGTTGTTGAGTGTGCGGTTCGTTTGTATGTTTTCAGATTCGAACACTCTTCTGCCGGGGACAAAAAAGCCGTAGCGGACGCTGCGATGTTGCCAAAGGGCACTCATTGTGGCAACCAAGTCTCAAAAATCTGAACCTTAACTTGACTTGGCCTGCAGCGTTGTAAATGTGTCGCAGTTGTGGGTTGATGAGCTGCTACCATGGGAGTGGCGCATCCCCGGATACCAACACGTAGCCAGCAACGATGAGCCACCATGTGGCGCAAAAGGAGTGGTCACGCTGTTGCACAACACACGCCTCAAGGCGCCTTGAGGCCCTCATGAGAACAGTTGGCCACGCCCCAGCACGATCGTCGAGCGCAAGTGCCCTTGAACACTCTTGCCTTTCTTTACCGCTCAGTCTGTATCGCTTTTCCCGCCGTCAACGTCCACGTTGGCAATCAATTTCCACACGCGCATGTGCGAGTCGAGGTGTGGAGGCAGATGATGAGCGCTCCGTTTGCTTCCTCATCTGGTGGCTTGCTTGCGCTCTCTTCCCCGCGTGGGCGCAGCAGTGGCCCTCTCTGCACGCCCGAGAACTCTCGATTTGGGCAGACCGGAGCCGATCGCGACAGCACGATTACCGTGGTACTCGCATGTTAATTGTTTTATGCAAGCACACTTCTGGTGAAGCCGAGGTTTGGGATGGTACAGGGTAAAAAAGAAGATAGAAGAAGAGGAGCGAAAAACCACAGTTGCTCCGTTACGCTCTGATGGTCGACTTGGCCAAGGCGTCAAGCTGTGCGCGGAAGGAAGAGGAAAGATGTGTGAGCGCCACAAGTGACTTGCTCAAGCGTTAAGCCGACGCGACAAAAGAGAGAGGGAAATCATCACGTACAGTGCGGGGCGAGATGAGCGGCTGGGCGTTCTCGTCGTCGGCGAGCAGGAGCTCCCCGTCGTACTCCTCCACCGAGGCGAAGGCCGGCGCCGTGAGCGACAGCGACCGGTCGAGGGTGAAGGCGGGCGAGGGCGGCGCCGCCGTGCCGGGAATGAAGTCGTCCAGCGAATCGGGCGGACACGAAGCCTTACGATCGCTGATCTGCAAGGTCACAATCACCATCAGCGTTAGTTGAACACGACACGACACACACGGCACGCATCGGGGAGGACGTACGATTGAGCCCTTCTTCTCAGCGGTGGGTTCGGGGAAGAAGCGGGGCGTGGCTGCCTCCGCGGGGATGGGGGACTCGGCGGTCTCGGCGCGTGCCGCGATCCACGACACGATATCGCTGAAGACCTGTTCGTGCCCCTGCTCGTGCAGGA